ATCTTTACATTTCACCTTTGACTGTATATTCCATCCATATCCTAACAGTAAGACACCAATATTTCGGTTATAAGGCATGTGTAAGACACTGATAACATTTGGGCAGCTGGGATAAGATCACGTTTCCCACTCCTGCTAGTGGAGACTGAAGAGGTGACCCATTAATTGTGTTAGATGTTCTTCTGAGTTGAGCACCTGAACTCACCAGCATTGCCATCTTAATTTTGCCAGCACTGTTTTCTAACACAATACTCTGGGGACAGGGTTGGCATAATTCATATGGCAAAGCCATCAATGTAATAGGCACCAAACCTCTCAAATTTACATTTTAATAGTAGCTTAATTCACAAGATTCTTATGAAAAACATCAGTAGGGATGCAATTCTTTGCTAGTTTCATTTTTGAAGGAAGCAATGAGCAAATGTACCAATTTTTGGCCCAGTGTAGGAAAGTCTTCAAAATGTTAGGCAGTATTCAAAGACTGTTCACAAATTGTGACTTATTCTGTATAAAATTTGTGTGTGCTATTTTTGCTCAGAGAACAGAATTATATGTACAAAAATTAGTTGAACAAAAATGTTATTTTCTGTGCTGAAAATCCTGTTTCCTTTGCAATATATATATATGCTGTTTTCTGCACACAAAAAATGTGCAAATTTTGTGTAGAATATGTTCTGGACTGCAAAGATTTTCTTCAGTCTAGGTTTCTCTTTGTGCAGGTTTGTTGACACTTAAGAAACACATTTTTTCAACCATTTTTGAATATTCATTCCATCCCTAAACATTAGAAACAGAACAAATAGAGTAGCCTGAGAATAATAAACTGTATAATACTTCTTCCCCTAAATATTATTAATTCTTGTCTGAAAACTCCCCCTTTTTGCTTGTGAGAATTTGCTAAGCAGCAGCTGGTTAAATCTTAACAGAACTTTAAACAGATGGTTTTTGGAACTGGCGTTTACTTTTGACATTTCAAACCTGGACACACCTGTGGGAGCTTTGTGTGATTCATTTCATTCTCAGAGTTTCAAATCTCTTTGGTTCTTCTCCCCTTCCCTCCAAAGCAACACATTACTTGCAATTAGGAAAACTAGCTGGTAATGCAAATACTGTTTGTAAAAGTAGCTCTTTCCATTTTCTGCAAACATTTCAGACTTTTCTAAGAACACTTTTTAAAGGCACTCAGCGATTTAGAGGCTGCAATTAGGAATGCTGAGATAATCTGCCATTCTTTGAACTGGATTCAGGGTACAAATGTGTAAAGTATACTCTGTAAATGTACACACCTGTGGCTGAGATCTTACATTAGAGTTGATGTGGAGTTATGTGGAGTTATGCATTGATTGTCTTACACAAACTTTGTGTTGAATGGCAATGTTGTGCAACCAAATGCACAACTGAAAAGGCACAGCATCCATGTCTACATGCAAATGCATGTAACCTGATGTAATAGGAATCTATCTGAACTTGAATTCAGATGTTGGGCATCAGACAAAAATGTCCAACTACTTCCATAGTCAAACTTATACATGGGTCAGACACCAACGGGAATACAGCTAATCTCTTTCTTTCTCTCTCAATTTTTGTATGCCTGTAAATCAGAGTTGGGAACCCATTTTCCAAGCTAGGTACCACTGCAGTTTTAACTCAGTGCAACCCAATACACTTTCCTCTGCATTTTCTCACTCAAATGACTTCCCCAAATGTTACATCACTTCCTTTTGTCATTTTGGAGGGGAAATAGGAAAAGATGGCTTTTAAGAGGGTTGCAGTTTCTGTGGCTTGGGGAGAGAAGTTTGTTTGTTCTGTTTGTGTTTTGAATTTTTGCATGCATTTATTTGTCTGTGCTTTCAGCACAATTTGGGGGTGATATTTTCCTGAAAATAGTAGGACTCAACAGGCTTTGCAAGAACTGGTAGAGGGGTTTATGTTTTCCCAAAATAAAAAATTCCATCCTGCAAATGGAATGGATATTGTGTTGCTGTCAGTTATACCTTGCATAAATTTGGGTGTATGAAACATGCATGCTGGCCCTTTCTTATAATGTGCATCAGTTTGAAAACTTGCATTTTGGGAGTAGAAGTTGTGCCGGAAAGTTTGAAAATATTAATGTGGTTGAGGAAATCAAGGAGAGAAAGAGTGTTCAACTTTCTATTGATGCCTGAGAGTGTGGGAAGGTGAAATGCAACTGTCAGCAGAAATAAAAGGATGAGCTTTGCACACATCACTAGTCACCAAGTGTGACCCTTCCAACAAGACGTGAACAGGCAGCGTACATTGCAGTTTATGGAATTTTCTTGTAGCAGTGGCTGTGATTGTTCAGTTGCAACACCAGCCCTCCCATGAGGCAAGATGAGGTGCCCACATCAGGAGGCCAAGCATGACTATGTGATTTCTACCATACTGCTCCAGAGGGCCTTTTGTAGGAATATTTGCTGACTACAGCAAGGGGACTGCAGTGCAGCCAGTGCAATATGAGCTTGTGGTAGAAAACAGCAGAAAATACTCAGGATGCTCTTGGGGCTGTTTTCACTGCAGAAATAATCCAGTTTGACACCACTTTAACTGCAGTGGCTAAGTGCTATGGAGTTCTGGGGTTTGTAGTTTTATGAGAGATTTAGCCTTCTCTTTCAGAGAGCTCTGGTGTCACAATAAACTACAAATCCTAGAATTCTATAGCATAGAGCCATGGCAGGTAAAGTGATATCAAACTGGGTTATTTCTGCAGTGTGGATATAGCCATTGTAATGTTGTTGTTGTTTTAAGAAAACTTGCATTTATTGTTTCAGGAAACCCATCTTGGGATAGGAAAGGAAACAGACAAAAGATTATTACCATGATTTCAGTAGAAAAGTTCCTAAAGCTGGCTCTCTTATGTGGATTTAAGCCATCCTGAAGTGAGCACATCATGGATGCTCCCTTCCCAGACAAAGGGGAAAAAGGGACTAACTAACATTTTGGAAGAAGGAGGAAGTGACCTTTGCAGACAGGATGGAAGCAAAAGGGTTTGAGTATATGGATCGATGAAAGAGTGGTAAAGCAAAAAGGCAGGACTGCTCTTTAGCATTCCCTCTCACTAATCACTGTACATAAGCATTGATGCCTCTTTAGGTGCATCAACACTGTAGAAATAATGCACTTTGACACCACTTTAACTGCTGTGACCCCAACCTACAGAATCCTGGTATTGTAGTTTGGGGAGGCATTAGCATTATTTGGCAGAGAAGGCCAAAGACCTTGTAAAAATGAGTACCCATCTTGTTGGGGGCAATTGGCTAACACATTGTAAACTGCTTAGAGAGTGCTTAGTTCACTATGAAATGGTATAGAAATATAAAGTGTTATTAAAATGCTACTGTAAAATTGCAAATTCCTGAATTCTGTAGGATGGAGCTACAGCACTTAAAGTGGTGAAAGAGAAACAGAAAGGAGCCAGTGAGAGAGGAAACTATGAAATGGTTATTTTTCATCCAAATACCACAAAATTCTGGAAAATATTTTAATCAAAATGGTCGAAAAATGGTCTCTTAAGTGTTGGGAAACCTTGATGAGCAAAATCCTAAATGGGTAAGGATCCTCACAATTCAGGATTTACTGTGCATGAAAAAAAATCACATTTGTCTGCAGAACACATTATTTTTCTCTGCAGAAAATAACACTCCTGCATAGAAAACAGATTTCCTTAATAGAAAACAGCAATTATAGATATGTATATATTTGTGTTGGTATTAAAACCAGCAAAGTTTAAAAATAGATTTCCTTAATGCATTATTTATGTTTAATAAACTATTCTTATTGCTATCCAGTGAACCAATTTGATGAACCCATAGTTTGGTAGGTCCTCATCAGCACACACTGGTCAGCATTTATTTTGTTGGGGTTTGTAGCAGTCTCTGGAAAGGCAGGTTGGTTGGTTTGTGTTCGGTTTCAAAAACAACAGCAGTGAAGTTATGGTTGGTACCCAACACTTTGGAAGAAATAAGTCCCTTTGGAGATAGTCGGCCTTATTCAGAAGTAGACACACATAGGAGTTGGTTGTCTGAGCATAAGAACTAGGAACGAACGAACACATCAGTCATAAGAGATTAGTGCCCTTCTCTATATCTGAAATACCTAAAGGAATGCCATTTAGAAGGTAGAACAAGCTTTTTTTCTGCTGCCCCAGAACATGAACAGACAGATTTAAATTACAGTGGGCCTTTGGTATCCTCTGGCGTTTCGTTCCAGGAGCCGCTGTGGATATCAAAATCCATGGATGCTCAAGTCCCATTAAATATAATGGCATAGTGAAATGGAAAAATCAAGATTTGCTTGTTGGAATTTATATTTTTAACCTATTTTAAATCTGTGGATGCTTTAACCTGTAAATTATGAAAAATGGTGGATATGAAGGACTAACTATACAAGAAAAGAGATTCCAGCTAAAATTTAGGAAGAACTTTTTTACTCTAAGAGCTGTTTAACAGTAGGAAGATTGTTTCAAAGTGTGGTTGTTGTTGTTGTGTGCCCTCAAGCCATTTCCAACTTATGGTGACCATAAGGGAAACCTATAATGGAATCATAGAGTTGGAAGAGAGCACAAAGGCCATCCAGTCCAACCCCAACCTCCATCACAGGGTTTTATTGGCAAGATTTGTTCAGAGTGGGTTTGTCATTGCCATCATCTGAGGCTGAGAAAGTGTGTCTTGCCCAAGGTCATCCAGTGGATTTCCATGGCTGAGCCAGGATTTGAACCCTGGTCCCCAGAGTTGTAATCCAACACTCAAACCACTGTGCCACACTTGCTACCAAAGGTGGTAGATTCCCCTTATTTGGAGAGGTTGGGTGGGCATCTATCAAAGTGCTTTAGCTGTTCATTCTTGTATGGCAGAGGGTTCAGCTAGATGGCCCTTAGGGCACCTTCTAGCTCTAACGCTGCTTCTGCACTGCAGAAATAATGTGGTTTGACATAATTTTAACTGCCATGGCTTAGTGCTATGGAATTCTGGGAACTGTAGTTTTGTGAGTCACTTAGCCTTCTCTCTTAGATGAGCTCGGGTGCCCAAACAAAATATAATTCCCAGAATTCTATAGCACTGAGCCCCGGAAGATAATAATAATAATAATAATAATAATAATAATAATAATAATAATAATAATAATAAATTATTTATATACCGCCCAATGGTTGCCCAATCTAAGTGGTGTCAAACCCCATTATTTCTGCGGATGCAGCCTAAGATTCTGTGATTCTCTGTTTCTCATGCCTATTCGGTGAACATTTCAGGGAAAGTATTACCTTTTGGATAACATTAAATGGTTACAAAATTAATCTTAGCTTCATAAAGAAAGCAATGAGTCTGGCTGATGTTTAATTTCTCTGCCACCAGCTGTAAATATGCTCAGCTGTGACTGTTTCTGTACAACAGGATTGCCTTCTATTGATTGCCTGCCCTATTTTCCCCCGTGTTGCTTGTAATTTCAGTGTTGCAGGTGTATGGCTGAGACCAGGCAGGGAATTTCATAATATAATTGCTATAAACCCACCCCTGAACAACAGGGTGCTTATAGGATTTTATTTTTAAGTTCCATTTAAACAGGGGAGTGTGTTGATGTTTACAGCATCATGAATGTTAATGACACTGTACTGTGTAAGCAGAAACATATAGGTCACTGCTTAAAAGCACTTGTGGTTTGAAGTTGGGACTAGCAGGAAGAGGCAAAAGTAATGAGATGTACTGTGTTATATTAATTTGTATTTTATTTGATTGCATTTATAGCCTTCCTTTCTCTCAACATGGGGCAAAGGCAGTTCACAGCATAGATTAAAACAAAATGTAGCTTTAAAATAAAAATTGGAATGGAAGTGTCCAAGGTGCTGAATTCTATCCTTAATAAATGGTTAGCACCTTGAATAGATCCTTTAAACAGTGGTTTCTGATATGAAGCATGTATCTTTGTGTGTTATCAGGGGATAGAATCATAGATTCATAGAATCTCAGAGATGGGAGGTACCACAAAGGTCATCTAATCTAGCCCTCTGCCATGCCATGATATAACTAAATAATGAATTAAAAACCTCCAAATTTAAGTCTTTGGGGCAGTCTATTCCCCTCTTGAATAGTTCTTACAGAAAAGAAAACATATCCAAGGATAGACGTGTTGGCAATACAACAAAATATAACAGAATACAACAACAACAACAACAACAACAACAATAAATTTTATTTATATTCTGCCCTTCTGCAACGCAATCGCAACAAAATCCAGAAAACAATGATACTGGGCTGATCAAAATGCACAAACTACATGATGCAGGCTTTAGAAGCTCCACTGGCTTCTTCATCAGGCAAAAATGTTAAACATCATACAAGAGAAAAAAATAAAATGATGATATGGAAGTTACAGACCTACATTTTCTCAAAATGTTATTTTTGTTGTTCTAAGTTAAATTGATAAGGATGGCTATCCATGTAAGGCAGAGGCCACTCTTCTTTTTTTGGATTCCAGGAGACTAAAGGCCTAAGCAGACTGCCAGAAATAGTGCACATTAAATTGAGGCACTGCCCTGGCTCAGTGCTAGGGAATCATGAGAATTGTATTTTTTTCTGAGACATTGAGCCTTCTCTGTCAGAGAGCTCTGGTGCCACAATAAATTACAGTTCCCATGATTCCCTAGCACTGAGCCAGGGCAGTGCCTCAATTTAATGTGCACTATTTCTGGCAGTCTGCTTAGGCCCAAAGAGTCATAATGTACAGGAAATAAAATTTAAACTCCATTAGCAACAGGGGCAAAAAACTTCCTTTGAGATCCAAGCTGCCTCTATCCTGTGTGAGACTATTCCCCCTCCCTCTCCCCCTCCCCTGCTTTAAGCACAGAATATTGAATTTCTCAAGAAACTTCTGTGCAGTTGTATTTGGAAAACTTTTAGAACACACCAAATGCAATCCCAAATAAAGAAAGATTTGCCTTTATTAGAGGTAGAAAAGTTAAAGAGCTAAGTCCCGGTCCCTTGGTTCACTGTTCTCAGGGATTTAGAAAATAAATTCTTCTCAGTGTTTAGGTGGACTATCTTTTCTTGTAATTTGAATCCACAGGATCATGTTATAGTTTATGAGGCAGCAGAAAACAACCTCATCCCATCTTCTACATGGCATTCCTTCAGATATTTAATGATAGCTATCATGTCACCTCTTAGTTTTTATATCTCCGAGCTAAACATACTGAGCTCCAAAGTTGTTCCTTGTAAGGCTTGATTACCAGATCTTTGGTCATCTTGGTTACCGTTCTTTGGACTAATCTGAGGCATTCAATATCTTTCTTGATATTTCTTAATATCCTTGATATGTTGAAAATCACTATTCTTGATATTGAGACTTTGTTGGACATGTTCAGGTTTGTTGATGTCCTTGCTACATTCCAGTTGTAGACATGTTCCAGCATGTCAATATCCTTTTTAAAATAGACTTCTGTTTTTGAGCATCTTGGGGAAAACTTTTGCATTCTGATGACTGCTTTTTCTGCATTTCTGTAAAACATGCATCATTGAAAAAAGGGGGGGTTGTACTTTGGTTTTTTTACTCTTAGGTAACCTCTAAAAATACGTTTTAAGTGTTGCCTTGTTCCAAGAGCTAGTCAAAGTGTTAGCATTGGAAGGGTTGTTTGGGGTTTTGTGATCAATCAGCCTGGTCTTTTATTCTTGCTGGGTGCATGCGCTTAGCTTCAGGAAAAGACAAAAGTTTTGCACAGAAGCAGGAAGTTGACACACATCCTGTTTTGCACAAATTGCAGTGCAGTACTTGTATGACGAATAGGCATCTTGTCTTTGTGTACATGAAGATCTCTTGAGATTCCCTGGTGATCTTACATCCAAGTACTAACCAATTTAGTACATGAGAATGTGAAAAATGTACAGCCCTAGCTTCATTCAAATGTGTATATTTTTAATTTCTCTATACTTTGGAAGTCTGTTAGCGAGAGACAAGATGAATTATGCAACCTAAATGAATGCCGACAAAGCCATTTATTTTTACATAATTTATCCACCATGATTAAACATTCCCCTGTTTTTGCACAGAATATGGACTTAGACACAACCCGCACCCACAAGACCTGTTTACAAAAATTACACTAAGCTTCTGGACAAAGGGTTTGACTAAGCAGCTACATCCTGTCCCCTGATTCATTATATCAGGGGAGCTAAGATTTGATCATGCAAGGTGCTGAGCACTCTAAAAAGTTTAACTGGCATTAATTGTAAGCCAGGAAAGGCTGCTGAATGCACATTCAGCTTCCCAAAGAACATTGCAGAACAGGGCCAGAAGGTAGGATGGACGAATACTAATTGGCTTGTGTAAGTGTTCCCTAGATCTGGAAGATTGTTTTTGGAGAATATGCAATTATAATTTGGCTTGCTCATAATGTGGGGTTCTGAATTATAGGAAGAGCCTGTGCATGTACTTTCTCTTTACAGATGTTGCCTCCCAAGTGTGAATGGTGAGGCTGTTGAGAAAGTAAGGTGGTGGGGGGGAATAAGCCCTTCCAACAGGCAGAGCTTCTCACTCCATGTATTCCTAATTTTAGGAGGTTTGGCTGAGAAATACTTTTTTGTGAATTTTGTTTAAAAACGTAGGCTTGATTCCTGGTGGTGACATCCATGTGTACTGGTTCTCTTACAGACATGGTGGCACTTTGGGGGACCAATGTGGAATGGATATTTTCAGTTCATTCTTGAGCAAGTAGAGTTCCTGATGTAACTGTTTTGTTTGTAGTTGTTGTGTGCCATGAAATCATTTCTGATTTACAGCAATCCCAAGGTATACCTTTCACAGGGTTTTCTTGGCAGATTGCATGGCAGCATGTCCAGGACATTACATTCTACATGATTTGATTGCACAATCTTGGCCATAGAACATATGAAACACTCTTTGAGTGTTCAGGCCATCCCAAGGAATACCTTATTAATTTCCTCATTAACCATCCAAGGTAGGTCAATATTGCAGTGATCAAACTGCTAATTGTGTGTGCAGATGGGAGTTCAGAGAGCAACAGCAGAGGCTTGGCTGAAGGCCCTGACATTGATTTATGTCCAAAATGAGAGCTGAAGAAGTGACTCCCTGGCTCCATATCTTGGGACAGGAGTTGGATGGCATGAGCTGTAAGGCAAAGAGCCAGCTAAGATTTCCAAATGCTTCCTCAACAAGCTTTTTTTGTGTGGATGGAAAAGACTGGAGGGAGGGCTTAGAAAAACTGTTTTCCTGTCTTAGTTCAAATGAGTCTTCATCCCTTTGTAGGTACTATAGAAATACTCCAATTTGATATCACATTAACTGCCATGGTGAGACTGAATCCAGAGAAAACAGAGGTACTAACAGTTACGGGCCCAAAACCAGGTCTGGGAATACAACTTCCAGTCCTGGATGGAGTCACACTCTCCTCCAAGGACTGTGTTCACAGTCTGGGGGTACTCCTAGATTCGTCGCTTCACATGACAAATCAGGTGAATGCAACGGTCAGGAGTGCCTGTTATCAGCTTCGTCTGATACACCAGCTGCACCCTTTCTTGGAAAGTAGGGATCTGGAAACTGTGGTACATGCTCTGGTAACCTCTTGTCTTGATTTCTGTAATGCTCTGTACATGAGGCTACCCTTGTGCTTGACTCGTAAACTCCAATTAGTTCAGAACATGGCAACCAGATTGATTTCTGGTTTCTCCAGAAGAGAGCACATAACACCTGTGCTAAAAGCTCTCCATTGGCTGGCTATTATTTTCCGGGCATAGTACAAGGTGTTAGTTTTGACCTTT